CCCCTCCAGCCTCTTGGAAATGGCTTCTGTTGCCCCACAGTGAGCATGGCTTGGAAACCCCTGCTCTGCAGGCAGCTGGTATGCTTAGTGAGTCTTGAGTAGGTTCAAACCCAGCTGGTTTCTAGGAGAAAGCTGGATTGTTTTTCTCTCATGCTCAGTGTCCTCGAACCTTGTCTTTTTGCAGACCTTGGAGTGATACTTGCTGTGGTGGCTGGTGCTGGAGTTCTGGTGGCTATTGGACTGACTGTGTGCTGTGTTAAGAAGAAGTAAGTTCGTAGTTCTTTGTGTGTAACTTAGCAGTTCAAGGTGGCATTCCAGGGGAGTTGTTGGACCCTCTGTTTCACCTGTTGATATAGATCCCTTGAACAAGGGTCTGCAGCACGAGGTAGGCAATGTGCTGGTGGCAGGAGTAGTGTGCTTCCAAGAACGCTGCTTCATTCTGAATTGTTTGACTTTAGGTGTAGAGCAGCCTTCCCAGTATCTCATTACTTCACCCTGCAGTGGATTGCCTACCTTGGCCTTAGCACAGGCTTCTGGCTCTTTTGTAAGATACGGGTTGGACTTTGTCAGTGATTCCTGCGAAGCGCAGTCCCAGTGAATGTGGCTGCTGCACGTCTGACTCCAGACATGGCTTTGTTCAAACAAGCTGTCGACTCAGATGTATTGGGAACTATTTTTTTTTCATCTAAACAACCTCCAGCAGCTTCTCCTGGAGTTTGCATATCAAGTGGGAGCATTTTGCTAGAAGATGAGCCCCTGGGGAGAAAACTAGGTTGTGCAAAGCAAACGTGTACTGTTACTCCTGCAGAGAAGATGAGCCCCTGGGGAGAAAACTAGGTTACTCCTGCAAGCAGAGTCTGAATCCATGGGGTCTCTGAAACACATTGCCCTCAGTTCTGGCAGGGTGATTGGGTCCTGAGCTGTAGAGCTGGAATTAATTTGTGTCATATGATGACTATATGAAGTTATAAGCACATTTTTTTTTTGCCACATGGGAAAAACTTTATAAATACAGGCTTTAAAATCTTCAGTTCAGCCTTTGGTCTTCCTATCCTGGGGACAGTCGCTCCAGAAAGTGCAATCAAGAAAAGTTCATTTGGCTTTCATAGAGGTCCCACTATCTTACTGGTCTTCAGCAGTGCTCAGCCTTGTTTTGTGAGGATCTAATGGGTTTTAGGTCCTTCTAGTGCCTGTGGGTGTTTGGAAACTCAGGGCACTGCACTGCTGGGGCCCCTGTACTTGGGAGGCAGTTAGAGCTAATCTTGCAAACTTCAGGGTCAGCAGAGCAGCAGTAGGTAACCAAATAGTGCAGTCTTATTTTCTACTTTGTAAAAAACCCATGTCTAGGCACAAGAGTTGTTTTTCTTAGTTTGCAAGTTAAGCCTTCAGTGCAGGTAAGGCTGCCAGACCTTGGGTGGCTGGGATGGGTAAAGAGAAGCTGCCATTATTGAGTTCAAACGCACCACCTGTTTCTAGCCTGTTAACAACTTCAACTCTGTGACAGGAAGAAGAAAAGCCAGAATCCCATGGTGGGAGTGTACAATGCTAACGTGAATACGGAGATGCCTAGGAAACAAGGCTTGTTCAGAAAAGAGAGGAAAAACAATGAGTCTCATGTCTATGCAGTTATTGATGATGCTATGGTCTACGGGCACTTGCTGAAGGAATCCAATGGCTCAGTTGCTCCAGAAGTTGATGTGTACCGGCCTTTTGATGGACCCATGGGTAGCTTGCCACCTTCTCCACCTCCACTCTCCTTCAGGAAGGACATTAAACGCTCTTCTAACACTGAGGAACCTCTTCCTCTGACAGACACAGACCATGACACATACACATTTGCTCATCAGAAATCAGAGAAATTGGAGGGCGGTGGGGATCCAGCTGAAAAGAATAATGGAGATGTGAGCATGTCCTTGCTGGAAAATAAGGAACAAGATGATTTAGTGGAGTAATTTCACACGAGGTGTAGCAGTTTCCTGTGGAAATACAGGTGACCCATAAGGGCAGGGGTCTAGGGAAAAAAACCTGAAGAGGAGTGTTATTTGAATGTGTTCTGATGTTGTTTTGTTTTGTATGTGTGGTTTTGGTGTTTGTGTTGTGTTTTTTTTAAAAAAAAGACCTTCAGCTGTTGATAGCTTTCAGTTTTAGAGTGAACATCTAGCAAACTCAAGTGGATTGAGTCACTCCAGAGCTGCGTGCACCTCTGGTTGTGATACAGGTGGTGAAGGTACACTCCTGCTTTTTATTATAAAGATATCAGGGAAATCAATTCCTAACTGCCAGCTTAAAGAGTGGGGACAGTGTTTTGTCCAGTATCTCCTCCTCTTTCAAGTCACTTCTTAGTCAGTGTTGGTTGGTGGCTCCTGGAAAGCATAGGCTACATCAGCATCTCAAGGCAGTTCCTGCTTGCACAGATGTCTAAGCAGTCTGCTAGTGGCTGAGCAGAGATGGGGACACTGTCTTTTCCACCACTTGCTGCTTGAAAATTCATCATATTTAGCATGCTGGTGGCTGTGTAAGTGCAGTGAAAGAACAAAGTGTGCCACCTGGAAGAGCACTGTGTATGTTATTAGCTGTTAACGCATGAGCTTGGGCTCTTCTAGTTCAGAAGTGAAGTTACGGGCTTTCTATGATTTCCAGCTGATGTTGTTATACTGGGATAGCACTGTGTGAGCCTCCACCAAAGACTGCATTTTCTTTGCTTTTTTACAAAAGCAGTTTCAGAAGTCTAAACCAATTTGTGCTTCTGTTCAGATGCCCATAGCATTCACATTTTACTGATATATTGTGCTTTTTGGCTCAAGTAAGAGTAAGGGTGCAATGGTGAAATAATTGTATGGTCATCCAGCTGTTTACTAATGCTTTTCACCTCACCAGCTAGAGGTGCTCATTTATTAAATAAGGATTTTTAAAAGGGGTAAAGAAAATGGAATGTTTCCAGCTGGTGGTTTCTCTGAAATGCAAAGAATGAGAGTGAATCCATAAGGAAAGCCTAGATTAGGTGGTGGTGTTTTTTTTTATCAGCTTGAATTTGGCAGCCATGTTGAAATGATGGTGGGGGCAGCTCTTGAGTTCTAGCAGGACTTCCACTTCAGTCACCCAGCTGCTGTTGAAAGCCACCTCTTGAAGTCTGGTGAAATAATAAGTCTCATTTTTAGGTGCTGTGGTTAGTGTGTCCCTCAGTTTCTGTGGCTTTTAAAACTCAAGGGTCAGATCTTCATGCTGCCCGCTATGGCTGTATAAATAAAGTTGCCTTTTTATACAAACATCTGACTTGTTCAGGTGTGCAGTTACTGAGGATGCTTGCAATTTTGCATGCAGCATTAGACCCAACAACTTGAGAATTTTTTTCTCCAGATGTCTTACCATGACTGTTTCCTGCCTAAGGGTGTGCTGAGGTGCCATAAAACTTCTAGACACGCAATAATGTAAAGCATATAATAAGGTGTAAAACCAAAATGTCTTTACAAGAAACCTTACTGTTTACATCAAAAAATAATGTTTTTCTTCCTGTGTTAACTACGCTGGCATTGCAAATATATTTTTTTTTTTAATATGGACAAGTGTATTTAAGAGTGTATATCATTATACTGCTTGGCCCACTGTAAGATTCAGTGTAATGTCATATCTGTCTCAGTTTTCTGTAGCATATAGCAAAACATGTGCCTGCTAAAAGTGCCTTTGAATAGTTTGGGGTATTTTCCTGCTTACATCTGTCACTTTTATTATAGAAATGTGTATTCCTAGTTCTCTGGCTAGTCACTGGGATCACATACTCCAAAGTGTACCAGGTCATTTTAACGTAATTTGAGAACTTAAAAAGATTTTTGCAATAATGACTATTTTTCTCAGGTAACTGAAGTGCCACAATGCATTTTTATCATTGTAGTCCAGTTGTGCATCTGTCTGGTCAATGTTTCTCACTTCTTTATTAAAAAGGAACGAGAAGTCTGGAAGAGAAATTAAAGGCTGTCTCATCCCTCTAGCTTGGTTTCTGCAGTTGCTTAGAGGAAATTTTTTAGTTTGTATTCTTGGTAACCAACTGAAGAAAACATAATGGAGGTTGGGGTTTCATTCACAACCTCTTGATATTTGAAGGAAGAATATGATGCTTCTTGACTGTTTGGTTTTGTTTAGGATTTAAAAAAAATGTGTTGTATTTTAACTCAGATTTTGATATGACAATATAAACCTTAGTTGGCTGTTGTTTCCAGTCTAAGGTTGGCTTTCACTGTGCTGACTTCGGTACGCTTACAGAAGAGTTCAGGCACTTCATTCCACTTCATTTTTCATTAAGAGAAAGTTGTGATTTTTAAAAAATAAAATGTAACAACACTACCAGATGGAGTAACTAGTGTATGGTTTTTTTGTGTGTGTGTATGAACTCAATCTTGAGTATTTTAATCTCTGACTGGTGGTAGCTATGGCTTCGCCCTGGGTGATAGAAATGGGTTTCTAGAGGACCCATTTTGTTGGGATAACCTACTGCTGACTGTGCAAGTTCTTTTTCTCACATAGCCAGTGATATGCTATTAATTGCTGGTTTTAAAGGCATGCGTTTAGATTGTTGGGGAGAAGGGCTGTAAAATATTTGAAGCTTTCAATATAAAAATAAATTGTTCAGCAGCTTCTCGGTAGGGTCATGAGTTTTGTTATTTATTAACATTCAACTGACACATACAGTTGAATTGCAAATTAATTTCTATTCAGGGTTAAAAGCATAAAAGTACATGGTATGACTAGTTCTTCAGCCCAGAAGAGACCCTTATGAAATTATGTGAAGCCCTTTTGTGTTCTAAGTTAAAGTGCATGGAATCAGTACATGCTGACCACTTTCTTGGATTGTTTTTTATTTATTTATTTTGAAACAAGTTTAATGCCCGTAAATAATGATATCTGAACTCCTTACTACTGAGGACCCCAGTAATTGCTAGGAATGGTTCCTAGGCTAAATTAGTCAGATCTACTCTTGGAAGGAACAGGAAGCTCAGCAAGGATCAGCCATTTACTAGGCCCTCTCCAAAACTGCCATTTAATATGAATGTAAATGAAACATTTATCATTTGGATCTTCACTGAGATTGTGTTGTTACCCAAAGCAGCAAAGCTGAAAAGGTGCTTCTTCCTGCTTGTACTTGAATCTGTGAGGTCTGGACAATCTCTATCAAAACGCTCAGTAATTGCTTTATTTTAACTATATATGTGGATAGGCTAGTGCAGTTTCCAGATAAATCAAGAGCCAAGTCACTACTCTTTGGATTAGAGCAAAACTTGTAGTGCACTGCTAAGTGATGAGAAAGTTGTGTCACCAGACTAATACTGAGCCTTCGCCACCTTCATGTTAGTCTGAAGAAATTTTCCTGGGATACCTGTAAGTGTAGGAACTAGGAGAACTGCCTGCTGCTCACTGGCCACCAGACACTGCAACACTGCCAACTCCCTGCTGGGACAACGGGCTGCTGATGGGCAGATGGCACTTGCTCACTGCACCTCCTCTTCTCCCATTCACATGGCATCCCACTGCTGCTTCCCCCTGAGTAAGGCAAGCTCTGCAAAGCCCTTGAATGTTCCTGGGGGCTCTGTGTGGCACATGGTGAGCCCCAAGTGCCTGGCAATGAGGTGTCTCTGATGGAGCTAAGGAGGGGGGACCCCAGTGAGCATCCCTGCTCTGCCTGCAGTACACATGACATTAGGAGGAAGAGGAAGGGTAGAGTCGTGGCAGAGGCAGGTGGAAAGCCTGACACTGGAGCACTGCCCTTTTGTCATACATACCTTGCTGTTTTGAAATAAAAATAATGGGCCAGCATGAGTGTGGAGCAGTTGGCTGCCCTGCTACAGGAAGGACTGGTCAGGGGCTGTGATGGTGAGAGATCACTCAGGGGAGCTGGAGTGGGGGCTTCCTGCAAGCTCATCTGTGGCATGGAAAAGTGGCAGCAGGGTGCCACTCAGGGAGGAGAAGAGGTGGTGTGGTGCCTCTCCATTAGTGTCATCTGCTGATTGGTGGCCTGTTGTCCTGGTGGAGAGTCAGTGATGTTGAAGAGTCCAGCGTCCAGTAGCCCCTTTTCCTTGACAGAGAGTGAATTTGAGTATATGAATATTGTTGGGGGGCAGGCAGGAAGCAAAATGCTGAATAACCCTCATCCACATGCATATTATCACTGGCCAGCATGTAACTGTGGGCTGCAGTGCACACAAGAATGGGAGCAAACCAAAATTATAGGCTTCTTTCCTTTAATATAAATGGCCTTTTTACATCCAGCTTAGTGACTGGTTTATTTTTGATCAAGTGTAGCTTCCCAGCAATTAAATAAGCATGAGTTACCTAATTTTCTTTGAGGAATTCTGGTGTGGAAAACTGATGGAGCCTGAAGGAAGAACAGTCGTTTTACATGCACTTTAGAAGCTTCTGGCATGTTGTTTCAGCAACATAAATGAAGAATTTCAAATTGTTTCAATTAGCAACACTCCTAACATATAAAAGGGATTTTTTTGTGGTTTGGGCTGTATCCATCTTCTGTATCACAGAATTGCTACCCTGCTGCATGCAAGTCAAGCTTTACACTTCTGGGCACGATAAATCTTCCAAAACTGAAGGAATGGCTTTGTTTCTTGCTATATTTGTATCTGTGTGGGTGTATTTTATATATAGATGTTTTTTCATCTTGTTTCAGCTGCTACAGTCAGTCAGTCATAGCTGCAGAAAGAGTGCGATGATGCATCCTGTCAAAGATGTTCTGACAGAGCAATACTCTCTCAGCACACACCATGTTTTTAGATACAAGGCTAGAAAAATGGCCTCACCTTCTGACAGGTATTTTCTTAGAAGAAAATTAGTGGAAAATTTTTGGTGATGTCCTGTCATCTTTGCAGCAAAACTATTATTTGATTTCAGAAAGTGTTCTTTAGAAGCAATGAAATGTTCCTTGTAGAGCATGTTCCTTGTAAACCTCCCC